GGGACCAACTTCATTGCTGGATATTAAATTCGGGTTTGGGTTCCTCACCTACCCGATTGCACAACTTTATCCAAATTTTCCCCAGCCCTTGGATTGATCTAATGATTATAAAGTGAACCCCTTATAACTTACCCCTCATTATAGTCTGAGCAGGGAAGTATCGCATTAGGGGATGAGATATACATATAGGTCAGGCCCAAAAAAAAGAGAGCTAGATATAGGCCCAAAAAATATGGGATATACATATTTTTAAATATATTATTAAAAATAATAAAAACTTAAAAATGATTTGGATGCTTATCAAACGCACGCTCCTTTTAAAGGGGGTGCGTTAAAATCAAAACGTGGCGTTCAACTTAGTTTTGGACTATGCAACGACGCAGTCTCATTGGAAAAAAAAAACCTAAAAAAGATACACGCGGTCATCTTCTTCCTTGGGCAGATGCGCTTTGCCGACCCACAAAGCGGCACTTCACAACGCCTCTATACGCTTTGCAGTCGACGCGCATGCTAAGCGTGCAGACAGCTAAACAAGTAGACACATGAGGCGATTTGCTACTGCCTCGCTTCGATGTGCACTCTGACGCATGCCTACGCATGCCTTTGAAAACATTGATTTATAATATGAATATTAAACGTAAAAAATACTAACTAGGCTACTTAACGACAACACTAATTAACCACTATATTATTAACCAACACCAAAGCTCAATTGACTTTTGACTTTGGCAACGGTAGTGCGGGCCGTGTCCTTTTGACGATGACATCTGTGATGGCTCTCGGGTGTGAACTCGGCTTTATGGGTTTCTGATGGGCCTCTTCACTGTGTTTTTTTGTTGCGCTAATTGTGTTGAGCTTTAGGAAAAAGGTGTCTAATTGCTGTATTTTAATCACACACACAAATTCAGAAATAATCATGATCGAGATCATCCTTGTTTGTGTTCATAATTCATAATAAATTGTGGACCTCTAGTGGACATAGAAATCAGTTTGTATTTTTGGATCTTTATGTCTCCATTAGAAAGATAAGAACACAATTATCCAACCAAAAACGAGAAAGAAAAAAAGCATACTAATGGAGATCGACTATAACATTTTAGTGCTTATTGATGAACTCTGTGATCCTTGAAATCAGAATCTCAGTTTGGGAAGCCGTGTGTGGATCCATTTCAATGGCAATCTTGTTAAGATAAAAGCTATGAGCCACACCAGGGCTAATCAAGAGCTCCACATCCTTCTCAGCCTTCTTCATGGCTTCGTAGTATTCAATCTCAGTATCTACAATCATGTCCATTTCAGCAACACATAGAAGAAATGGGGGAAGCTTCAGGGTATCTAAATCCGGTGCTCCGGAACCCATCGGACAAGTTATAGGATGGTCCTTGGTGGACCCCACTGGAAGTGCCAAGCTCAAAAACTTGTCCACCATGTCAAGTGTAAGCATAGGAGACTCTGGCTGGTCCAACTCCGACCTGCTCCTCGTGGATCGAACGAAACCGGGATGGATAAGAATCCCACCTGTTAGCCTTATGTGGTTCAAATCCACCTTCCCCGCTCGAGCGGCCAGCTCATGCACAATGTTTCCTCCTGTGCTATCTCCTAGAAGGATCACGCGGTTGAAGTCCGCATGGTCCACGAGCCATGGCTCGTACGAGTCACCTTGAGCAAGGGATTGAAGCCAGAAGAGAGCAGACCAGCCGTCGTCTATAGCAGCGGGCAGACGGTGCTCGGGTGCGAGCCTTAGATAGACAGAGACAAAAATGGCCTTGGCTGACCGTGCAAGGTTGGTGTACATGTGGTAGTACATGTACCAATCAGCTCGGCTTATGCAAAAGCCACCTCCATGGAAATGGAGGATTATGGGCAGCTTTGTCTCGTCCCTGGGTTTGATCTCTGGTAGATAGATTCGTAGCTGAAGGCCTGAGTCTTTGTCGACCACCACATCACGTGTAGCAACTCCATTGATGAATTCTTCATGGGGTTGGACCGGCTCGACCATGAACTGTACCTCAGAGGGTCCAGTCCATGTGCGGTCAGTGGAACCATCTTCGAAGACTTTAAGCCAACCGGACACTTCATGGAGCAGCTTCTTCTGGGAGATCATGGTTGATAGTCTAGTTAATAGGAAGAAGTGCGCGTGACCTTGGGGACGACCCGCTGTGTCTCTCTCTCTATATGTAGAAGTTGTGAGTGTGTGTGAAACTAATTAAGAAGAAGCTTCTAATCATGTACGACCAATTCATAAATGTGAAAGCCAAATTATACGTCTTTTTTTAATAGCCACGATGAAACTAAACTATAAATAAATAAATAAATAAATAAATAAAAAAGAAGTAAGTCATGAGCAGTTGTTGACTGAAAAAAATACATTTGTTGCTGGACTTTGCAAATGACTTGCTGTGTGTATTGTCCATGACAGCATGCACATTGTCTACCACATGGCATGCAGTATCCGCATTATGTTTACCCAAACAAACCCCAATTATTCTAATAATAAAACCCAAAAAAATAAAATAAAATAAAATAAAGGGTTCACGTTCTTTCTCCAGAGTGATTCCTTCCCCTCTAAACTTGATTCTTCAATTATTTTTTATTGTTTCTCTAATATAGCTAACCAATTTTAAAATTTCATGCATCATGATTGGTAAAGAAGAAGTGGCGATTGACCACCCTGATTGTCATCTTCATCATTTTCCAGCGTGCTTGAATAAGTTTGGTCTGTCTTTCAACTTTTCAAATCTATTTGCCTTCGGGTAGTGGTGGTTAAGTCTTTCTTCTTTTCTTTCGCTGTTTTTTTATATATTTACTTTGAAAGTTTTTGTTATATGAATCAAGTATAAGATCAATTCAAAACTGTATTTCCCTCCAAGAAAGTGATCAAATTGATTACCCAGTTAAAGATAACTGCTGCTTAATGATCAATTTCTAAGGAACGAAATCAAGTATAATCATACTCTCACTTTATTAGCTAGATTTTTTTTTTCTTTTGGTGGATTAGGAGGAGAGTTTACTAATTATATGTGTCCTTAGATTAATCCAAGGGCCTTTATTAAAAAGGTCCTCACGAGACCTCATTTTTAGGTATTTAGGTCAGCAGGACTGATTCCCAGTATATGTTTTTATCTTACTGATCATCTTAATTAAAATTAGGGTCACACCGAAAGAGAGTATTTTTGCTCACCACTTTAACCCAAGGTGTGTGCTCACCATCTTTCTCAACACGTGGCCCGTATCCATAAATCAAAGTAAAAAGTCAACCATAGTTATGCCTATGGACACATGTCAAGTATTAGGAAAGGTGGTTAGCATACACCTTGGGTTAAAGGGGTCGGCAAAACTATTTCCCATACTGAAATAGGCCCTTCTAACTCAAAAATCATAAACCCTAAGTGGAAGACCCTTTTTGATGATCTTGTAGGTTGAGAAGCATCCTCGGCTTAATAAAAATGAAAAGTTAGAAAGCTAATACCAAGAAGGCATGCCATATGTCTGTGCAGGGATATGTCTGTGCAGGGGTGTTAGCACCTAACATTTTATCCCTCTCAAGTCTGAAGTCACCGAGAACCTGGTTAGAAGTGTGCCTTCTTCTTCTCTTATTATTCTTATCTTACTGGATCCAGTTGGAATCATCAATAGTAAATCCACAATTTATGTGCTGGTTTGACGACTTACCGTCCCAGATAGCTCTGGAAGTCTGCTAGGATCCACAAAAGTATGAGGAAGAAGCTTAAATATCTCTTGCGTGCCAGAAGAAACTACAGGAAATATAGTTACATCAGAGCTATTATGATACTAGATTTTTTGTTTCATAAGAATTAGTAAAATCCTGCATCATGTGAACTGACTTATACTAAAAATGGTGCTCTGCATAAGAACTTGAAAAAATATCAAATTAAAAATGTAAATAAGTGAGACACAAGAACTCTGCAATTCACCTATGCAATATCAAAATTTTAGTTCTCGAGTTGCTTTTGCAGAAAGTGGCCTGGTAGCAGAATGTTGACAATATTGTTAATGTTTATGAGCGGAGATTTATATGTAATGTACCGTTTCCTGAACCGGTGAAGACAAAGACCAAAGGGCAGATTCATGATGGTAGTCCCAGAGGTGCTATATCTTCACCCACGGAAATCACTGCAGCCTTGGCAGCAGCCAAGGATGTATACATATAAGATGCACCCAACGAGAGGAACGGTGTTGAATATCCAAGACTTAAGTACCCTTGAAAAAGAAAAGAAAGAATGAGAAAAACAGAAAAAAGGTTTAAAAAATGGATGCAATACCTCACATCCAAAGTACCAACTCTCAAGCATCAATACAGCTAAAGAAACCACATAGGAAAGTCCATCTCATGGACTATCCCAAGCTCTAAAGTTGCATGCACTGAAAAGTAAACTAAGCTGCAAAAACTTTTCCTTGAACAACAAATTCAGCCAGAGCATATGAATCCAGTAAGTAGTCGAAAATTGATATTGCAGGAAACAGAACATACTCTGTCCTAACCCGAGCAGGAAGTCGATAAATCCGGCTCTACCAGCATACTTTCCAAATGCAAGTAGTCTTTTCCCTTGATCCCCCACGATAAGCTCGTAATCATAGAGGGACACCCTTTCAGCTAGGATCTGCACACCACAGAAACAGTGATAAACTGGTAATGAAGCAAAACATAGTATTATAAATCACTGCCCTGCTCTTAATAAGTGCAAATGCAAACATGACCTGACCTTGTCTAAGAGTGGCATGTTTTCCTTCTGAGCCTTGTGAGTATGAGAGAAAAATGCATAGGCTCTATCAGGAAGAACCATCTCCAGCTGCACCACAAGTCCAAAGCCAAACAATTGTGTTAATAAATTGGTGATCCATTGACAAACTTGATGCTATATTATGTTGAAAGCAAAGCAGAAAAAAAAAAGAGTGGAAAAAGTAGTACCTTGGGATAAATCCTGAGAGATTACCCAACATCCTCATACATTGCATCATGATGGATGCGCTTTGTGGAGGGCTGCACTATGATGCGGGCAACCCCAGTTTTGTCTCTGCCACTGTGGAGCAGCCTAGCACAGTGAGATGGAGTCAAAGATGCTCTCCTCTCCCACTTGTTTACTGACTCGGACAAAATCCTCACCACCAAATTTCCAAGCATTTTTCTTTTTCAGAAGCTTTGTGATCTTCCCCTGCCTTAATTTGATCACTTTCTAGCAAGAATCAAGATCAATCAAAACAAAAACCTAAAACCAAGATCAAAATATCCATACATCACCACCACCAAAACTCTTTCAACAATTCAAAATGCCAAAACTCTTTCAATTACTCTTCAGAACTTTGTTTTGTTGTTTTTTCTTTTATTTTTGGGTTTCTTAGATCTAGGTCCAAAATGATTAATTGGCATTAGGCTAAGTCCTCGCAGTTTTGGTTTTAGATCCAAGTCCATCGACTTTTATTACCTTTTTTGTTATGTTAATTTTACCCTTTGAGGTAAATAAGGAAACCCATTGAAAATCCAAATTTAATGCATTATTTCATTGTAATTGAATTTATAATTTCATATTTGAATTCTTTCCTTGTGAACATTTACCTAATATATGGATAAACTACAATTTAATCAATAAAAGTAAAGACCAACATATATATTATACTAATCGATGAAGGCAAGTACCGGCATGAAATTATGTACCTATGCATCAGGTAAACACCAATATTGAAAACACAATATGTTTAATACTTATCAAGTTGATAACAACAAATAAAAAACTTGAGAAAAACAAGAGAACTATTGATGATGTTTTATGTACCTAATATATAGGTACTATCAGCTATAATGTGCTTTATATTACTATATGTATATATATATAGGTAGAATTTTCTAATGTACCTGGTTACTAGGTAAATATAAGCTTATGTGTCTAATTACTAGGTAAATGTGAGATTATTTACATAACTTACTAGGTAAATACAGGATTGTACCCTATTATTGGGGGAAGTATGAGATAATATATAATCTACCGGGTATATAGGTATTTGTTATTTTCAATATACCTTTTTTTTTTTGTTTCTTCAATTTACCTAATAAAGAGGTCGCAAACAGTAAGAAAGAAAGCCAATGATTTTTTGGGTTAAAAGAAAAAAAAAAGGCAATGTTAATATACAAAATCATGGATGCAATTAAAAGAAGAAGAAAAAAAAGGCAACATAATTAATAGGAAAAACTACATAAAACCCCCCGAACTATAGTGTCATTTTCAAGTTCATACTCAACTTTAGAGACAAAGTTGATTATGTACTCATAAATGTCTCTAAAGTTGGGTATGAACTTAAAAATGACCCTATAGTTTGGGGGGTTTTATGTAGTTTTTCCTAATTAATATACCAAAATCATTATGGTCAAAGCACTTAATTTGCTAATTAATTATGGTCATAAACAATTATTTCCCGTAATTAGCACATAAATTACAATTACCCTTTTCAAGGCATACGGGGCAACATTGGAATAAAAAAATAATTTAAAATACAAATAAAAATATTACATCATAAAATATTAAAAAATGAATGTAATCTTTTATGGCAAAAAAGTCAAAGGACTTGTATCAAAGTCACCAACTCCGAGGATTAAAACCAAGGCCCCGTTTGGTTCACGGAACGAATATGAG